GGAAGGGGCAGTCGCTGCAGAATGAAAGCACCAGTTTGCCTGGCTCTGCGGGTGATCGTCTGCCGCTCTACATGACGGATCGGATCTCAGAAATGAGGATCTGAGACAGGACGATGCCTGCGATCTATAGATCAAACAGAAGAAGTGTGTCAGGTCAGCAGTGCATATGGAGACAGCGCCGTCATTTCCCAACGCTCACTGAAAAATTCATGAATGTAAGAGCTGTGCACTGCATACACAACATTCATTTCGAAAGCATCATAGTTCGATGTGTGAATTTGTGAACGTTGTGTGTTTTTTTTTTTATTCAGACTGTCTGTATCAGTAGTTGTATGAATTTTTAAAAAATCCGTACAGATATTGTTTCTATTCCACCAATGAAAGTTGTTTCAAGTGAAGCCCCAGCAGAGCAGATCATTGCACATCTCTAAGACGGTGATTTACTCTTTCTGAATGGTTCTGTGAATAATTGAACAACTTACTTATGAAGATAATTATATGTTTTGCTCTTAAATTAATCATTGAATGAATCGCTTGAATAATTCAATGACTTCAATTTTGTTGGCACCTACAGTTACAAGACTAAAGCTGATGTTACATTGGGAAACTTGTGTTTCAATGTGTGTGTCCGCAATAGTCACATCGCAAGATATGCAACGTTAAGTTTAGGGTTGGGTGATGTTGACCAATTTGGTATCGTACGATGTTTAATGTGAAACATCGCGAAGGACAGTGGCAAGGTCGTTGTAGTAGGCAGTGGAGAATTAATTATTTATGAATAATAATTGAATACATAATGAATTAATTATTTGTAGCCTACTGTTTCAACTACCCGACCTGCATGGTCTTTGTTTTACCCATAATCAAATCAAAAATAATTGAAGATAAGTTACACACAAATGACCACCTGTCAATCACTTTTTCCGTGGGACTCTGGCATGAATAGGCAGAGTGATCTGTGTCGTTATAAATGACGTTGACAAACTTGGTTGGTAAAAAAGGTGCACGACCAACAGGAACAGGGGCGGACTGGGACAAAAATTCAGCCCTGGCACTGTTGCCACATCAGCCCACATTACCACACCGACACAGCCACACCCACGGACACGCACATTCACTATTTATTTTGGTGTAAAGATGGTGAAATAATATGACATTTTTGCCAGATTTTGATTATGTCCGGGTAACCTTGGATTGGGTCGGCCCATTTTGAAACCAGGCGGGAGTTGCCGATTGGGCCAAATGCTTAATATTTATTATTATTAGTATTTTTATTACCATCATAATATCACATCTAGCCAGAGATAAAAGCTGTCTGCACTTAAAAACAATACATATTTAAAAAAAAAAACTGACCGGCCCACATTTAAAAATTGGTCCGGCCCTTCTGACATTTGCCAGAATTGCCAGATGGCCAGTCCGCCCCTGATTACAGGAACCAACCAACGGTTTCTGAGGTTTTCACTAAAATTACTAAGTACAAGTGTGAAAGCGAAAGACTAAATCAGTTTACTGACGCTGTGACGCATTACCTGATAGATTTAATTGACCGAAAAGTCGTTAGATAGAGACAAAATGAACAAAATATCACGTTTAACAACTATAGTGAGACTTGATCCAGCAGTACATCTTTTATAAACTATCTGATGTGCTCTGCTTTCTGGGATCAGTCACCCGCTGGCTGTCTGGAGCTCAGACGTCCACATATGCTGCAGTGTGTGCCTGTGTGGTCATGTGATGTGCGTTTTCAGTGGTATAGAGGGACATTTTTTTTAGAAATGCTAGGTGAAACACCAGTGTGGACGTAGATTGTTTTCGTTCTAAAATGCCATTTTAAAACTAAGACGTATTATTATAAACAGGGCCTGAGTATGTATTTTTTGCGAGTGGATTGCTGCTGCAATGGGAGTGGGGAGGAGAATCTCGATTTCGACTCACCATCGTGATGTCTATTAGCCATCGTCTATCGATCCAACCCTAGTTGAGTTATGAGTATATATGACCAGAATCCAAAGGTCAAAACACAAGAGATTTGTGGAGACACTGTAGAATTGGTTATAGTGTGAAAGTTAAAAAAATTTTAAGGCCTATGTGAACATTTGAAGAGTTTGAAGCATTTTAAGAGAACATAAAGAGCATTAAAAAGTGGTGTAATTCCAAATAGAGCCTTTTAGGTCAAGTGGTGAAAATGTATTTACTGTTTATCGCAATATATATGGCAGGGAAAAACAATATATCACAATGTCAAAATCAAAGTTTTCCATTATCGTGCAGCCCTAATCTGGATCCAGTTGCTTTTGTTTAGTTGTCTTGTGTCCTTTGGCCATTTTGGTTTGGATTTTATTATTTCTCAAAGTTACCCGGCAACATTACTATAAAGGTAAGGTTTTCCATGTATCGGTTATAATACAGACAACTGTGATCTTGGCCACTTGATTACATTCAGAAGTACAGGAAGTCTGCATAATTACACAGGACTTTTTTTGAGCAATGCTGCCAGGCAGTATTGCATGGCTATTTTGAAAATGGGCAACAAACTTTTATCTAGCGCAGATTGCCCTAATTAGTTGCCTTGTGTGTTTTTTTTTTTTGTTTGTTTTTTTTTTGCCCTTTTTTTTTTGGCCATTGATGGCATTGTTTCACAAAGTTACCCAGCAACATTACTATAAAGGGAAGGTTTTCCGTGTATCATGAGCTCTAAGGTTGGTCATTATACAGACAATTGTGATTTTGGCCACCTGATCACATCCAGAACTACAGTAAGTCTGCATAATTACACCGGGCAATTTTTGAGCAATGCTGCTGGTGTTCTGTCAATTTGTCCTACCTTGTCAGATTTTCCTACCTCGCATTCAAAAAGTAGGGAGCACAATTTGATGACGCAACATGCTACTCATCAGATTTTGCTAACAGTGTAAATTTTAATGAGTTGTGTGATGAAGCTGTAATGTCGCCCTAACCTACCTAATTCCTAGCCCAAACCTCAGAACCATTAAAATAGTGTTGGTAGTATAATCTAATGGTTAGGATAAAATGTCAGGACACCGGGCAATATTGCAGGCCTACTTTACTCTTCAAAATGGAGAGGGTGCTCTCTGCAGAGCCACTTGGGTGGAGCTTACTTCCAATGAGAGGGAGCTTGAGCTCCTATAAGCTGTTTTAATGTGTACACCTACCCCGCCCCAAACCCCTGTGACATCACTTGTAGAAGAAGTGCAGGAGGAGCTGGAGCTCAAGCTCCCCCTTGCTGGAGCTTAGCTCTGCCTATGTTGCTCTGCAGTGAGTACCCCAAATGGGCAACAAAATTGTATCTGGATCTGATTGCCCTATTTAGGTACCTTGTCTTCTTTTGCAATTTTGGATGGCTGTTGATGGCATTATTTCCCAAAGTTACACAGCAACTTTACTACAAAGGTACAGTTTTCCCTGTATCATGAGCTCTGGGGCTGGTCATAATACAGACAATTTTGATCTTGGCCACTTGAGCACATCCAGAAGTACAGAAAGTCCACATAATTACAATATGTACCAAATTTCATTGCTACTTTACTTTTAAAAACAGGTAACAAAACTGTATCTGGATCAGATTGCTTTAATTTGTTGCATTGTGTTTTTTTTTTTTTTGCCCTCTTGGTTGGCCATTGATGGCATTATTTCCCAAAGTTACCCGGCAACATTACTGTAAAGGTAAGGTTTCTCTGTGTATCATGAGCTCTAGCTGGTCATATTACAGACAACTGTGGTTTTGGCCACTTGATCCCATCCAGAAGTACAGTAAGTCTGCATAATGAACAGAATGGCATGTTTTTTTTTTTTTATTATTAATTAATCATAAACTGTTTGGGCAGCTTACAAATGCTATTTTGGCACAGCTTAATTTTTTAATAATCAGTTGGACCAATTGTTGTCAGGCATCACTATCAAAAAAATTTAATATTTAGAGCAGGCCCGTGCAGAGACTGCACAGGTTGGCGCGCGCGCGCTCTGATCAGCGGTGTTGTCGCGCGCCAAACGAAGGGCGGGAGGGGGTGTGTCGCGGGGGCACTTTTGATCATTTTGGAAAGGCACTTTCTATCCAAGACTAAAAAGGGCATGTGCACTGCCTATGTGTGCACGTGCCTGATTTAGAGTGGAATATACTCGATTAGGTCATGCAGAATACTGCATCACCACTAGTGTAAAGAGTGGCTATTGAGACAGGCACAAAAAGGGAATGTAAATCTTAAGACACAGTTTGACCAGATTCAAGGACTGGAGCAGGTTTTTTAAAAGTTATTAAAGTAGTAAAATGTGTAGTATCTGTCTGAAGAGTTTGGATGGGCCTTCGATATTGCGGTTTCAACATACAGTATGTTCCCTACGATGTAGATTTGGGCTCCAAATGATGTCATCTGGATATAATAACGAGTTATTGTAATTTAAATACTCACACAAGTATTGTATTAGTTAATGTATTTACTAACATTAACTAGTAATGAACAATACCATGTAGAACATTTATTAATCGTAGTTCAGCGTTTGTAAATGCTGTATAAAAGTCCAAATTCATGCTTGTTAGCAACTGTATTTTCATTAAATAACATTAACCGACATTAATACACTGTAATAAATGCAATGTTCATTGTTTGTACATGTTAGTAAATGCATTAACTATTACAACCTTATTGAGGAAATTAAAGTGAGAAGTGGAGACATGTCGTCCATTGTATTCTTAAGTCTATGATTTGGCTTCAATTGGTTGGCATACATAAGAATTTACCATGCCATGCTAGAGATATTTTAGAGAAGAGATGGGTGGATGGAAAATTATACTGAAATATAATCTAAATAATAGTCAAGTTCCCAACACTCACTGATAAATTAATGAATGAAAATCCAATGCACTTGTGGTCCACTTATGGTTATGTAGTATTTTGCATGATAACATTAATATGACTATGTCCTTTGTTTGTATCTAACTAGCATCTTTTATTGACCAATCAGAACGCCTCTGAGATGAGTCAGCTGATTGTTACCTGTGGTAAAGCGAGACCCAGAGTCAGAGCCCCAAATAACAGCAGGTGAGATTCGATCCAGATAACAGCTCTGTCTGCACAGCCCACCGAATAAATGGATTTGGTGGCATTGAGGTGGTTCTGCGTCTGAATTCCGAAGCCACACATGCTGTTGATCACAGTCTGTAAGAGCAACACAGAAGAGGTTCAGTCTTTGTCTCTTCAGCTGTTTGTAGCCTTTAAGCAGCAGGGGGCAGTAAAGTTTTACACACAACTGTTTAATGTGCCAAATAAATGCACGGTATATAAATACAAACATGATTAATTAGTAATTTTGCAAAAACAAGCAACCTTATTAATACAATGCATATTTTTCCTATATCAAGGGAGCTGAATATTGTCTGGGGTGATTATGGATTAGTAGGCAACCAGCCGAAAACCCTTAACAACTGCTTAACATGGTAAAAAAGTCCTACACAAACAACTGCAAAACAAGAGTTCAGACAAGACGTACGTGTGTATAGGAAGCAGTCATTTACAGCTTCTTGGTGCTTTCGATTCTGTTGATTTTTTACATTCCTTGAGTCTTTGCAATTTGCATTAACAGTCTGATCATTTTCATCTAAATGATTTTAAGAACGCAGGCAGACATTATAGTGTCGCTCAATTTGCAAAAACAAAATTAATGTATTTGTAACATTTAAAAATGCTGCAATAAAGACTTGATATTTTTACAAATGGTCCAAAAAGTGCATGTTTGTCCAAATGATCAAATACACTCACTGGCCACTTTATTAGGTACACCTGTCCAACTGCTTGTTAACGCAAGTTTCTAATCAGCCACATGGCAGCCCCTCAATGCATTTAGGCATGTAGACATGGTCAAGACGATCTGCTGCAGTTCAAACTGAGCATTAGAATGAGGTAGAAAGGTGATTTAAGTGACTTTGAACAGTCGTTGGTGCCAGATGGGCTGGTCTGAGTATTTCAGAAACTGCTGATCCACTGGGATTTTCATGTACAGCCATCTCTAGGGTTTTACAGAGAATGGTCCAAAAAAGAGAAAATATCCAGTAAGCGACAGTTCTGTTGGCGCAAATCCCTTGTTGATGCCAGAGGTCAGAGGAGAATGGCCAGACTGGTTCGAGCTGATAGAAAGGCAACAGTAAGAACAGGAAACTCAGGCTACAAATCGTACAGGCTCACCAAAATAGAAGATTGAAATGTTGCCTGGTCTGATGAGTCTCGATTTCTGCAGCGACATTCGAATGGTAGGGTCAGAATTTGGCATCAACAATATGAAAGCATGGATCCCCATCCAGCCTTGTATTAACGGTGGTGGTGGTGTAATGGTGTCGGGGATGCCCATAAATACCAATTGAGCATCGTGTCAACGCCACAGCCTACCTGAGTATTATTGATGACCATCTCCATTTCTTCATGACCACTGTGTACCCAACTTCTGATGGTACTTCCAGCAGGAGAACACACCATGTCATAGAGCACGAATCATTTCAGACTGGTTTCTTGAACATGACAATGAGTTTACTGTCCTCACATGGCCTCCAGAGTTACCAGATCAAAATCTAATAGAGCACCTTTGGGATGTGGTGAAACGGGAGATTTACATCATGGATGTGCAGATGACAAATCTGCAGAAACTGATTGATGCTATCTTGTCAATATGGAGCAAAATACCTGAGGAATATTTCTAGTACCTTGTTGAATCCAACTCAGAAATTGTTATAACTTTTCTTGAAAGTCAAGTTTACATACATTAAGATTATTATGCCTCTGAAAAAGTTCAGATGATGGTGTCAAGGTTTTGGAAGTTTCTGATTGGCTAATTGACAACATTTTAGTTAATTGGAGGCACAGCTGAATAGTATTTAAGGAAAACCTCAAACACACTGCTTCCTTTTGTGACAACATGGGAAAATCAAGAACCCAGAATCAACAAAAAGCCAGTTTACAATTTTCTGAATTACACTGGAAAAAAATAATATTTTCTGGAGACATGTCCAGTGGTCTGATGGAACTAAGATTGAACTGTTTGGCCATAATGACCAGTGTTACATTTGGAGGACAAAGGGGAAAGCTTACAAGCTTAGAACAACTATGCCAACTGTGAAGTAAGGGGGCGGCAGGATCATGTTGTGGGGCTGTTTTGCTGCAGGAGGGACTGGTCCACTTTACAGCGTAGATGGCATCATTAAGAAAGAACATTATGTAGAAATACTGAAGCAACATCTCAAAACACCAGCCAGGAAATTAAAACTTGGCCACAAATGGGTCTTCCAAATGGACCATGACTTATAAGCAAACTGCCAAATTAGTTAAAATGTGCTTTAAGCAGAGTGAATGTTTGGAGTGGCCATCACAGAGCCCTGCTCTAAATCCTATAGAAAATTTGTGGGTAGAGTCGAAAAAGCTGACATTTTTATATTCTGGCATTTAGCAAATGTAAATCATTTAGGTAATCCTAACAGACCTAAAATAGTAAACATTTAATATGATTTAACTTCAGAGATTTAAAAAAAATGGTTATGTTGCTTTTGTGTATGTAAACTAATGGTTTCTTATATAACTTCTTATATATTGGTTTCTATATGTATGGTTTTTGACTCCTAAGGGCAACTGTTCTGATTAAACTGTGTCCGTTGTTATCTGATGGGTCAGGGCTGGTCATTTTCACTTCAGCTTTTTCTGCAGTGTGAGCCTTTCTCTGTGCTTTCTGATAACTTGAGGATGTTGAATTGCCTTTTGCTTCATGGGCTAGAGATGAACAATTCAGGTCAAGGTCATCAGTCTTCAGTTGAATGCTTGCATGAGGAATTTGCTTTTTTTGGTCAAATAGTTCATCACATTTATATCCATTACACAGCCTTCAGCATTGATAACCTGTGGGCTTGTTACTAAAAGAAATAAAAAAATCTATTGCTCGTTACTCGTTACTTCTATCAAAAGGAATATTATGTAACATATTAGTCCCTGTGAACAGTAATTTAATAGTTGTTATATTATTTTTGCATTACACTAAATGAACTTTTGAAAATTGTCCAAGCTTTTGTAGTTGTGACGTGATTTACACATTTTGAGGGTGATTGGGTTGTTGGGTTGTATCTGAATATGAATGATATTCAGAAATATAACCTTTAAAGGTCCAGTGAAGTGCTTTCATATGTGTGACATCATTTCAACTGAAACATAAATACAGGGCTGAACATAGATTAACCCCTCCCCTTTATTAAAAACGACCAATAGCCTTTTGTTTTATCATAGTGAAAAAAAAAAAGCCAGTAAAAATGGTTGAGCTTAAGCGCCACAAATTGAAAAGGGATTTCGTCTTGAAAAGGGTGGGACATGTCAGATACTATTGAGCATTTGAATGGTCAGAAGATTTTTTTTTTCCCACTTAATTAATTCAATGCCATAAGAACAAGAGGTATTACATATTCAAATAGTTTACCTTTAGCTTACAAAGAAAAAATAATAGACATTTACATAAATTTTTACATGCATTACGTTTTCAGTGCTGTTTTGTTTTGTGATTGTTGTAAATATATCATTTTAAGTAATTTTAAAAAATGGGAAAAATTGTGTTTGCATTGAGCACACTTATTCTTTTATTAGTCAGAAGATTTGATGAAAACTGAAGTATGAGGTGACATCGTCACAAATCGTTGCATTTATGCAGAAGTGGAAAACTGCAAGCTGATGTTTATATCTTCTAAATGTGAATTTTGTCACTGTTTTGGTGCACACAAGCTTATAGGTATCCTTAAAACTTCAGATTAAAGTCGGCTGTTGGCTGTCTTGCTCGCACAAGCTTTTTCAACTCTTCCCACAAACTTTCTATAGGATTGAGAGCAGGGTTTCGTGATGGCCACTCCAAAACATTCACTCTGTTGTCCTTAAAGCACATTTTAACTAATTTATGCTTAGGATTATGGTCTGTTTGGAAGACCGATTTGTGGCCAAGCTTTTAATTTTAAGTTTTAATTTGCCATCGAGGCTGTGAAGTGGACCAGTCCCTCCTGCAGCAAAACAGTCCCACAACATGATGCTGCCGCCCCCATACTTCACAGTTTTGATGGTGTTCCTAGGCTTGTAAGTTTTTCCCTTTGTCCTCCAAATGTTACACTGGTCATTTTGGCCAAACAGTTCAATATTAGTTCCATCAGACCACAGGACATGTCTCCAAAAATTATTATTTTTTCCAGTGTAATTAAGCAAATTGTAATTTGGCTTTTGTTGTTGTTGTTGTTGTTGTTGTTGATTCTGGCTTGTTGAATTTTCCATGTTGTCACAAAAGGAAGCAGTGTGTTTTCCTTCAATACTATTCTACAGTTGTGCCTCCAATTAACTCAAATGTTGTTAATTAGCCACATCAGAAACTTCCAAAACCTTGACATTTTCATCTGAGCTTTTTTAGAGGCATAATAATCTTATTGTATGTAAACTTGACTTTCAAGAAAAGTTATAAAAATTTCTCAAAAAATAACTCTCTCATTATTCTGCTATTAAACAAAACAGAAACTAATTTGATAATCCTAACTTACCTAAAAGAGAAAAGGTTTAGTGACATTAACATCTGACTTTTTCTTTAATGTTTATTTGCCTTTTTATACATTCATTCATTCATTTTCTTGTCGGCTTAGTCCCTTTATTAATCCGGGGTCGCCACAGCGGAATGAACCGCCAACTTATCCAGCAAGTTTTTACACAGCGGATGCCCTTCCAGCCGCAACTCATCTCTGGCAAACATTCACACACACACACACTCATACACTACGGACAATTTAGCCTCCCGAAATCACCTGTACCGCATGTCTTTGGACTGTGGGGGAAACCTTTTTATACAGTGTACGTAAAGTTCTGGTTTCAACTGTATATATATATTGTATTAAAAAGCCCTCAATGTTTTTAAACCTCTAGAGGATGAGTAAATACATTGCCTTTTTATTTTATTTTTTATATGAGCTATCCACTTTAACTTTTACTAAACTGATAAACTGAAATTATGATTCAAATCTTGCACAGATGTCACAGAGCAGCGGCGTCATCTCCACGTGAACAGCTGTTCGGATGAATCACCGATTTTCTCTGTCATTTCTTCCACTTCAAACAACCCGCCGGAATACAGTAAGAACAATTCAGCTCACAGCTTCTCTCTCTCAGCATCTTCAAATGTGGCACAGTTCCTCCATTCCCTTCTGTTTGTGTTTAAAAGAATTGCCTTTCGTCCTCTCCGACCTGTTTAGAGACTGTTTATCCGGCAATCACCGTAGACATTTGCCAAGGGAACGGAGATCATAATATTTAGGTCTGCCAAGGAGTCACTGTAAAAAAAACGGTGATCTATGTTCTGTTCGAGGATCTTATCAGCATTTAGACACATCTCGCCGATTGAATTGAGCACACATTTAAGCAGCTGCTTTTAGACGTCATGTCGACACAGCACACGTTCGGTCATTTTACTTTCTTGAGGCATGAAAAAAAAGCAATTGAGAACGAATAAATTCTTCTCGGGTTGCTGCTATGACAACTGTGTCGAAATTGAAACTTTGAATCACTGATACGTTTGGTAAACCCAATCTGTTACACTTCACAAAGCTCGTGGTGATGTGATTATAACAGGGGTAATTAGCAGCGCAGGCCATCATCGGTTTTAGAGGAAAGGCAAAGTCTGACTCCACACTTTGAATTCGTCTTTCGTGGCACTTTGTTGCACGGCGCAATAAACCAATGACCGCATACAGTTCTGCAGAGCTGATGACATGAAAAATAATACTGCTTTGCATCTGTACTGATGTACGACTACAAAGGCTAAGAACAAAAAGGGAAGGGATTGTGTGCAAATAAAGGTTCAGAATGAAGGATCATTGTATAACTGAACGCAAATTGTACTTTGTTTCTGAAGTCTAAGCGGTGTTTGTCTGCAAGTCTCACCAGTTAGATGTTAGTGGCTCTTTCTTAGGTGGTTGTCTTGAGATTGGCAGTGGCTAAAAAGTATTCTGACGAGTTCAAATTCACAACAAAAGTGCTCACAAAAGGTTGTAAATGTAACAGGATTATTTTGGATATTTGGATTTCACTATATTTCCCTCCTGTTTACATGCTGTTCATTTAAAATTGTTTTGTGTTCACAATATAAATGTAAAAAGAGTCTGTAAAGTGACAGTGGTTTCACCTCTTCTCCCCCCCTTGGGTTAACGTCAAGGTGGTATGGTCCAAGCAGCCATACCTGTTGCACTATTGTTTGAGCGGTCTTTTCCACCTTTACAAGGAGGTATGCTCTACCTGTTCCATGTTGAACTTGGCTCTGGTCATAATTAATACACACACAAATATATATTTAAGTTTAATTTTAATCATTTGTTATATTTACTGATGTAAAAACAGTTTGTTATATTGTAGAATGTTATTTTTGTTGACAGTGTACATTTAATGTAATGATCTGAAGCTGCCGATCTCATAATAACATTCTCTGTGCAGGTATGCATTTATGATTTTGACAATGTAATATGTGGATTGTCACTGTTCAAATGCTGATTTTTGTAATTGTGAGAGCTAGTTTTCTCTTTCCCTTTCCTGTCTTCGCGTCCCTCCGCGGCGCCCCTCGCTCGTTTCCTCCATCTTTCATTCGCCTTTTTCTTTTCCACCTTTACCTTGAACTAAGGAGTTTACATTTAATGTAATGAGCTGAAGCTGCCGATCTTATAATAACATTCTCTGTGCAGGCTCAAAATGGTGTCCTCTCGTCATTAACTACACAACACAACGCAGAGGAAAAGAGAGTACGGTTACATGAACATGGTGGGTAAAAATATCTTAGAATTCATTACATCATTCATTTTCCTTCGGCTTAGTCTCTTATTTATCTGGGGTTGCCACAGTGGAATGAACCGCCAACTCATCCAGCATATGCTTTACGCAGTGGATGCCTTTCCAGCTGCAATCCATCACTGAGAAAGATCGATACACACTCATTCACACACATATACAACAGACAATTTAGCTTACCCAATTGACCTATACCACATGTTTTTGGACTTGTGGGAAAACCGGAGGACCCGGAGGAACATGCAAACCCCACAGAAACACCAACTGACCCAGCCAAGGCTGGAATTAGCGACCTTCTTGCAGTGAGGCGATCATGATACCCACTGCGCCACCATGCAGCCCCCATATCTCCAATTTATCATTATTAATATATCTCATCCTTATATCTTAGTTATTATAATAGTTGTTTAATATTACAAAGATCTGATAACATTTCTTCCAAATTTCAAATGAAAATATTATCATTTAATGTTAGATTTTCTTTTACATCTGGCAGAATGACTAATGTTTTCATTAGTTCTGATCGAAAATGTTGGTTATTCCACAACATGTAGATTTTTTTAAGTTAAATCAAAAAAATAAAATGATAAATGTAATTTAACATGAACACATGTCACCATATTTCTTTAATAAATAAATACTGCCTTGCTAAGCATGAGACACTTCTCTCCAAACTCTTCAAACTTTTAACAGACTCAACTTTTGAATGACATACAGTACAGTAGGTCTCATTTCTCCTCTCCCAATGGTTTTCTCCAAGGTGATTATGCAGACAGATGATTATGGATGATGATGCAGTGCTGCCACCATGAACATTTGAGAAAATTATTTGAGAATTTGAAGGGATGAAACTGTGAAGTTAAATGTAATTCGAATGATTTAGAACTTGAGTCGCACCGCCAACTCATAAAGCAGCACATGAATCCTCACTTCACACAGACCTCTTATCTGCAGCTGCTTCTCTGTCCGTTTTTATCAAGGATTTTTCATAACTGCAGATTTCATAGGTGTAGGTGGTTAAACACTGATCAGGTTTGACCACAATTTGTCAAATTTTGAAAAATCTTAAAGTTTCCTAACAACATTGACAAGCGCTTTACAAATAGGGCATTTTTGAACCAGTGCTTGAATTAATCTGTATTACAACTGTAGTAATTTACTGTATACAAATGACCCAATACTGTGCTACGGTTTCTACAGTTTTAGGATATGTTATACTACAATACACCACAGCTTAAAGTTGTAGGAGTTAAAGTTTACAGCATCATTTAATAAAGTTTATCAATTGCTAATTATAGCTGATAAAATAAAATATTAAATATAATATTAAATAATTAAAATTAAATAATGCTGATTATCTAGTGTTGTAAATACTATATTACATACAATATAGTACACTTATTTATGGTTCAAAAACACTGTAATATTTAATATCTGACATAGAAATCTAATTTAGGGCATTTTATGCAAATTTAACAAGACAAAAAAGTTCATTTGGATTTCACATATATAAAATATGTAACAAATATATTAAAATATTACAAGAAAATACCACTTTTATACTTAATAACCATTGGAATTACATATATTAAATACTATAGTAGGGCAACGCAGTGGGTAGCACGTTCACCTCATAGCAAGAAGGTCGCTGGTTCGATCCTCAGCTCAGTTGGCGTTTCTGTCTGGAGTTTTCATGTTCTCCCTGCGTTTGCGTGGGTTTCCTCCGGGTGCTCCGGTTTCCCCCACAGTCCAAAGACATGCGGTACAGTTGAATTGGTTAGGCTTAATTGTCCGTAGTGTATGAGTGTGTGTGTATGTATGGATGTTTCCCAGAGCATCCGCTGCGTAAAAACTTGCTGGATAAGTTGGCGGTTCTTTCCGCTGTGGCGACCCCGGATTAATAAAGGGACTAAGCCGACAAGAAAATGAATGAATAAATGAAATATTATAGTAACCATAATGTTAATAAATATATATGTTTATGTATGAAAGCCCAACGGTTGAAAAAAATAAATAAAAAAGGTGCATGCAGGATGAACTCGCAAGTTTGAAAAATTCAAAACTTTTTGTACACTCTTATACATTTGCAAATGGTGTTTCGCATTTGATAAACATATTTTATGATTATGTATTTTTATTTTTTGCATGTGAATTATTTTTGTAAGTATATATATATATATATATATATATATATATATATATATATATAAAAGTATTTTACGCACGTGAATTTGGCTATGCATGTGTACATCGTGTCTTTTGCGTGAATTTCTTTTGCAGTCTATTCTGTCTCCAAAACCGGCCACTTTATTAGGTACACCTTTCCAATCACATGGCAGCAACTCGATGCATTTAGGCATGTAGACATGGTCAAGACAATCTGCTGCAGTTCAAACTGAGAATCGGAATAGGGAGGAGAGGTGATTTAAATGATTTCGTAGCATAGTTGTTGGTTTCAGACTGGCTGGTCTGAGTATTTCAGAAATTGCTGGTATACTGGGATTTTTGCGCACAACCATCTCTAGGATTTACAGAGAATGGTCCAAAAAAAGGAAAATTGTCTGTTCTGTGGGCGCAAATGCCTTGTTGATGCCAGAGGTCAGAGGAGAATGGCCAGACTGGTTCCAGCTGATAGAAAGGAAACAGTAACTCAAATAACCACTCGTTACAACCAATAGAGCACCTTTGGGATGTGTTGGAATGGTATATTCGCATCATGGATGTGCAGCCGAAAAATCTGCAGCAACTGCAGGATGCTATACTGTCAATATGGACCAACATCTCTGAGGTATATTTCCAGTACCTTGTTAAATCTATGCCACAAACGATTAAGGCAGTTCTGAAAGCAAAAGGGGGTCCGACCCAGTACTAGTAAGATGTACCTAATAAAGTGGCCGGTGAGTGTATGCCGCATATACTGTATGACTGTGACTGTTTTATAAATGTAAAATCAAAATATACTCATGTCAAATATCTCATGTCATTTGCATATGTTTGCATAAATCAGACTTCAATATGGGATAAAATACTATAGTTTTTTTTTATTCATCTTCAGTATCATAGAGTTTGAAATGATGACACCTGCTATTTTACAGTGTGCCACAGTCTGACAAGCTAGCATCAAAATGACTATTAATAATGGTGTGGTGTGAGGGCTTCACTCTCACCTCTCTAGGCAGAGGTGTGCAGCAGGAGAACGGCACAGAACATCTCTCATTGCTGGGGTTTGACGAGCTGCAGTTAAAGTATGGGTTCCAGGACCAGTCGGTGTAGTTAGTCCAGCCGCAGCACTTAAACTGTGAGGAAGGACAAGACTTGTTTATACAAACTGTCTGCATATTCACCTCTTTGTTTTTTGGATAACATTAGGATTATTAAGAGGAGGATTAAGAACATGTAAAGAGACACAAAGGAGACATTGCACTGTAATGTAGAACAGAGTGCGTATTCTACATTGATGATCAGGGGATGGATATAAGCATAACTTCAGTGAAACAAATTCATTAATTTTTATGCAATTATGTCACTTATTTATCAAACAAATCAAAGTTTCAAGGGTAAATCAGTAGATTATGATGTACAACAGACATTTGCTTCCCGCTGCACCCATCCGCTTGTCAATCTCACGTTCCATCCTTCCCTCCCTCGTGAACAAAACCCCAAGATACTTGAACTCGTCCACCTGGGGTAAGGACTTTCCTCCAACCTGGAGATGGCAAACCACCTTTTTCCGGTAGAGCACCATGGGCTCAGACATGGAGGTTCTGATTTTCATCCCAGCCACGTCACACTCGGCAGCAAACCTCCCCAGTGCATGCTTGATGAAAGTCCATGTTTGATGAAGCCAACAGAACAACATCATCTGCGAGTAACAGAAATGAAACCCTGTGGTCCCCGAACCGGACCCCCTCCAGCCCAAGGCTACGCTTTGAAATTCTGTCCATGTAAGGGGACAGCTTTTGATGAAACCAGTAAAAGACATCCTTGACTTCCTAAGCTATCTGAAATGAAATGAAATCCTAAAATAATGTTTATGCGAAGCTATCGGAAAAGTTTTGCAGGGAAAATGTAATGGATGTGATGTTTACACACGGTCCGAAAGACCTCTCTTACATTCTATGACATAAAAATGAATGCCTACATTGTTCAAGATAAGGAGCTGCAGTATAGACCTTTTTCATGGCTGCTGCATGGAGGGCGCCATAGCGACCAGCGTCTTCTGGTAGAATGCTAAAAACTTCCGTTTACAGCGTGTACAACTGGTAATTTGCGCTCCGAAAATGGGTTTCAATAACGTTTTAAATGGATAACAGAGTGTTTTTGTGACACACAACTTATAAATGTGTCTGTTAAAGACGTTATAATCTGTCACATGTGGTTCAAGCGCGTCAGAAATACGAGAAAAGCGTTCTCCTAGTTCATGTGTCTGCCGTCAGAAATACAGTGTGTTTGTGCGTTCCCGGCCTGTCAGCTGTTAGCTCAGCGGCTCTTTAACACACACACACAGAGAGAGAGAGAGAGAGAGAGCAAACCAGAGTACTGGCATGAAACTTAACAGGTTTGAAAGTCGTGCAATTTTCAAAAATGACCAATAAAAGTCTGTTATTGATACTCTGCTGGCTGATTTGCTGTTTATTCTAATCGCGAGCCGTTTGTGTATTTCGTGTGTTGTTTTCACCACGGTTTGTGTTTTTCTGTCATTTCGAAATGACACTAGCCTATATTTTCACTTTGTCACAGTTATTAAATCAGTGTGCAGTGGCACAGTACAGGCTACGTGTGTGTGTCAAACATTTTGGTGAATTACATTTTTTTGGGGCTGGTTATATAATTGAAATAAAGAGAAAATGTTGACTTTAGCGATGACGAGGCTTCATTTAAACTACAGAAGATTCCGTCTGACAAGGAGGGGAAAATGCCTCACAGCAGCTGTTTTCCATCCTATTAGATCGCATTTCTTTAAATGATCAGTCCAGGAGATGGTGCTGATGGACAACAGTATTAGTTCAAAGAGGATAAAAGCAGGTAAAATAGATTAAAACTGTCGTTTCAAAGCTGTCCAAATGCGACTGTTTACACGCATCAGCTGCTGACCGGAAGTTCTTCGCATTCTCCTTGCGCATACACGCAAAGCATAATGGGTCATTTTGCGTTCCAAGAAAAAGGTCTATAACGTCAATATTTTACAGAATTACAGTGTATTCAGTCAATGATTTTGTCTTCAAGAAATGCAGATGACTACTCATGATGTCTGACACGCTTATGGAAATAAAGATAAAATCACCCTTACCTCTTTCTGGATGTAATCCATCAGGTTTTGCAGGTCCAGGTCGTCTCGATAATGCACAATGGCTTTCTTCACGAATTCCCCCAGAGCATCTCGTGTCTGCGAACATGACACTTTATCCAGTCTGGCCACCAAGCACATTTCCACCTGAAATCAACCTTCTACATCTGGCTTGTATATGCATATGTAAGCGTGCTACAGGAGACAGGTCGACAGCGCTAATTCACCATGGCGGCTCTAATAGCATATGCTTTAGTGTGGTAATTAACTCTTGGGGCCCACCGAGTGTCTCCGTTTCTCCCCTGTCGGTTTCTCTAACTCTGGCACGTTCAAGCACCTCTGCATGTCATTAGCGAAGCCTCCATTCGAATGGAACATTTGCTTCCACTTTGATGTGGCAAAAGCTCTTTAATCATTACGCAGGGAAGATGCTGGAAGCGACGTCGCTAAACTGCCCTCCCTGTTCAACTGTGCGCTGCGAAGGTGAAATATATGTGTGATGTAATGCTCTCAATGGGACTGTAGAACTTCAAGGGTCCATGAGGTAATGAGTAGGTCTTGAACACACTACGCTATGCAGGATGCTTTAAAGATAAGCATGTATTTATTCATATATATTCAGTATTATGATATTGGCCCTAATGATTTGTGTAGGGACAATAAAAATGTTTTCATTTATGAATTAATAAAAATAAAAAAAAAGTCTTTTTCAGCAGACTTATAAAGACTATGAAGACTTGATATAAAAAATGCAAGTCATTTATGTTCCATCAAATAATCTGCAATGAATAATAATAATAACAAAACACTGTATCAAGTTTTCCAGCCAATACATACATAAATAAGAATGATCAATAACAAGTAATAACAATGACACACATTCAGTATTAATCCACACAGTTGACCTATTTTGAAAATCGACCGAGTTCAGAAATGTATTTTAATTATTAATGGAAGAAGCATACGTCGCATGTGTAAATAGCCCATATAGATTTAACCTGAGAGATACAGTACAAGCATTGATCTAAATTAGATGAGAGATTACAAGCCGCACAGAGCGATTACAACTTACAACACATTTTTAAACATATTTTGCAAATGTTGACGCAGTGGGAAGTGCTGTCGTCTCACAGCAAGAACGTCGCTGGTTCGAGCCTCGGCTCAGTTGGCGTTTCTGTGTGGAGTTTGCATGTTTTCCCTGCGTTTGCATGGGTTTCCTCCCTCCGGGTGCTCCGGTTTCCCCCACAGTCCAAAGACATGCGGGACAGGTGAAATGGGTAGGCTAAATTGTCCATAGTGTATGAGTGTGGATGTTTCCCAGAGATGGGTTGCAGCTTGAAGGGCATCCGCTGCATAAAAACGTGCTGAATAAGTTGTTGGTTCATTCCGTTTTGGTGACCCCAGATTAGTAAAGGGAATAAGCCAAAAAGAAAATGAATATTTTGCAAACTACAGAAAACGAGGCAACAATTACATGTTATGATCCGGTGTAAAAAAGAAACTGATCCATATGAACAGTCACAGTTACTGACAAAGTCCCTGTCAAAGACTGACAAAGTCAAATACATTATAGTCTCTGCTGCTCCTTCCTTTAATAGCAAACGGCCGGCGAAAACTGTGCTGCAGCATAGGTTATTGTATCAAAAATCCGAAAAATGACAACTAGGTTGGCTATAATGTGGTATTGTTATAAAAAATGAACTTTAACCCTTTTATTCCAGCTGCTGAATCTCTATCAGTCAGTGTTTGTCATCTTTGTGTCATGATTAGTCCCGTGATCCCCCACACTCTGCCAGTGTCTGAAGGGAAAGGCACGTTCACGTTTTACCGGATCCAGCATTTCATATTTAGTGATGTACTGTATCAACGTCGAAGCGTTCAAGCAAAAAATTCAAACAGTTCAGTTTACTGTAAATTGTACATTTACTGCATTGAACTTATTTTTAAACTCATTGAACTTATCTGTTAGACACATTCTTCAATTTAGAGTCTGTCTTCAATTCAGAGCTTCAATTTAGAGCTTTACGGCAAAGGCTGTGAATACTTATGTACATGTGATTTTTCAGGTTTTTTATCTTTAATAAATTTGCAACAATTTCAAAAACTCTTTTTTTTCCACATTGTCATTATGGGCTGTTGTGTGTAGAATTTTGAGGAAACAAATGATTTTAATCTATTTGGAATAAAGCCGTAACATAGAAAATGTGGAAAAAGTGAAGTGCTATGAATACTTTCCAGATGCACTGTATAGTCATAAACACTTGTTTGTAGAGCCAGTGACTGTTTTCTGCTGTTTGTTATTCCTGATCATTTCTCCCTTGGAAACTGCATCGTAAGTTCTAAAATAATCGCAAAAACGGGCACACTTTTGCATTGCAAAATATTTAAAAAAAAAATAAAAGAAAAAATGTCAAATGTACATCCAGTTTTAAAATTAGTCATATTAAAAAAAAATTGTCATATGATAGAATATTCCTGTTTCCTGTTTTTACTAGAATAAATGCATCCTAAAAGCAACAAATAGACTAGCAAAAGAAATCCCACACAGAGTACTAGAGTATATATGCACTCAACGGGACCTCGTCTGAATCCATGAGGTAATGGCAGACCAATAGGAAACCCTATAGTGAGAACTGACGTTATGAATAAGATGAACAATGAAAGCGAATGGCGGATTGCTTTTAAATTGACTTTCTATCCCATGAGATGGACTTAGAGTCTGAGAGATGACTGCTAAAAGAGGTTAAGCCTCCCCAAACAAGCCAAAGCCTAATGCTACAATTAATCTTTAACAATCTGCACTGTGTGAAAGTCATACCAGTGAAACACATTTGTGCCAATAAAAATGAACATAAATTGTCCGGAAAATAGACAATTTTGAAATAAGATAAACTGAATAATAACATAAAGAATTAAATTACTTAAAAATGTAACATGCTCTTCCAATATGCTTTGTTAACAATTTTCAAGGATTAGTTTTTGAAAATTGACTATGATTTTGTTTGCTTGTTTCCATAGATATATACACTATGGCAGTGGTTCTCAAACTGTGGTACGTGTACCACTATGGTACGCGGGCTTCCTTGTAGTGGTACGCGGAGGAATGAAATATGTCATGTACATGCTACATATATTTCTAAACGTATCAAAAATTATGTATATAATGTGCCCTATATGACATATAGCCTATATTTCTGTTGTAATCTGCCATGTTTTTTTACTGTGCAGAGTTGTAGCTGCTTTACTGGGCCTACTACGCTACTGTATTTCAATACTGCTCATTTTGGTGGTACTTGGAGAGACAATTTTTTTTCTGAGGTGGTACTTGATGAAAAAATTTTGAGAACCACTGCACTATGGCATACGGACCCTGAGCATGCATCAATACCGCTGTCACATTTGTACAGTGCACCCAAGACAAAAGTCATTCAACAGCACTAGTCGAGACTAAAGCCAATCTGAAGATGTTGGACTTTTGCTCTGCGTACGGGTGTAATATGAGCAAACTAAGCTTAAAGGCAGAACATTTCATAGGTAAGATTTCTTTTTTTACGTTTTTGTGTTACGAACTTTTGTGCTAAACAAGTAACGTTACTGATGATAATACAGTCACTACTGCACTGAAGGCAAAGTAGCAGCAATGTGCACTAAATTCTAGGCTTATGCTAGTTTTGTGGAATCAAATCAGCAAACAATGTTAATCAAATATGACAACAAGATGCTGCGGTGCTAGAAACTTGTATTAATGTCGGCTAAGGAAAGTAACGGCTTTGAAGTACCTTATAAGAGTGCCTGATAACATAACAGTACCTGTGCCTCAATGTGCATACTGTCTATCCTAAATTATTGAATATTACAAATGTTATATGCCATTTAAATTTGAAAGATAGATGTGCACATTGAGATGCAGGGATATCGATGGTTCATAATGGAGATTCATTCACAAACTAATCGCTCCCTACATTACTATTAGAAATGAAAGCAGGAGAGGGGGTGTGTTTCAGGACATTCATTAGATCAAATTTAGTATCTTAGGGAGGGTGAATAACACATTTCCATGCACACAAACACAAACACACATACTCCTTGTCGGCAATGCCTGTGCGGTAACTAATCCATCAATATAGTGGTGTAAAATTATAATTTTCATCATTTGAAAAAAGATTAGCATACTGACTACCAGGAAAACTCCCCAATCATAGATATATGTGTATATATCAATGGTTCTGGATGGCCAGTCTCCCACTGCACTGTTCCACCCACAGTCCATTCAAAGGAGCGCTACCCTATACTAAAATGGAAGCTCTATTGACATGTTCCTTCCAATAGACCAATAGCGTAGGTGACATCTAATGTAAATATCCATGGCTTATATCCTCTTTTGGCACAAACCTATTGTGGGTCGGTCTACTCTGATTGGCTTAGCTGATTAGGAGACTTTAGTCAGTGGCTAGCGTAATAGAAAACTTTTTTCAGTAAACTTAATGGTAAGTAACACTTACAATGGTCCATGAAATAACATGAACAAACTATTAGTAATACATTTAGTTCGGTATTTATACATATTTGTTAACTTAGTTCATGTTGGTTGATGCTAACTCAGTGCATTCACTCATGTTAACAAGCACAACTTTTGATTTTAAAAATGCATTAGTTCATGTTGAATTGATTAATAAAATATTATTCATAAATACATTAACTAACATTAACTAATAGACTATTATTCTAAAGTGTTACCATTATTTATGTATTTATTTTTACTTGTGTTGCATGTTTACCTAATAACAACCACGGCCACCCCTGTGTAAACTCTGGCCACATCTGTGGCCACCCCAATATGATTTTGCTGTTGATATTATTAATTTAAATGCACTTACGCAATATTTCAATGAATAAATAAATAAATAAATAAAATGCAGCCACCAATTATTGTGGACTGATTGGCACCACCGACATTGCTAATTAACTGCCCCTCCCCGTATAAACACAAGCTACAGTAAAGAGCTGTTTGACCGATATGCTGTTTTGGCTGCACCTCAAATAAATAAATGCATTTTGAAATCAGCTTTTCAGAATCTAGTTTATTTAGCACTTTCGTTATTTTGCTGGTTGACTTACAAAGGCCAAAAATCTCAATGATTTTGAGGATGTAGTTTGCAAAAAGCTGAAGTAATAATATTGAGGCTCAAAAAGTAATATGGATAAATTATATTATTAGGGTCTGTAGAGTGTGTGTATATAATAATGCCTTCTGTTCAGTTTGTTCCTTTGTCTGTGTTGTTGAATTAAATTTGTATTTGGATTTGGTATGCACGTGTAGGCTACTTGCTGATTTTTTTTCAAGGAATAAATTGCAATATTTTAAGAGTAATTAAATTAATTAAAACCACAATATTTACCAGAAGCAAAAAAGGCCCCACTTTATATTGTGGCCTTAACTAATATGTACTTACATAAGAGTTAATAGTTTGTTACAATGTACTTGTTGTGTAAATACATGTATTTACTGTGTACTTATGCTTGATTAAATACATGTATGTAATTACATTTGTAATTAACTTTTGTAATTAAATTTGTAAATACACTGTTGACCATCCCTTACACCTTAACCCATCCTTAAACCTACCCATACCACCAAACCTGTCCATAACCCAACCTCTATCCTAACTCAAAAGCACCACAAGTGTTCTCAAATACATTATAAACACAGTAAGTACATTGTATTTATTTTTTATGTAAGTACATAGTAGTTTAGGACACTTAATATAAAGTGGGACCGCAAAAAAATAACATTGCATTGAACTCATAATTTTTAGCATGTGCCATGCCAAGATTTTGTGTGGCCTCATCTGGCCATCCCTAAGAAAAATCAATATGTTGAAATAAACTTATTTACCATTTTGCATGCAAATCAATAACATGCCAATGCAACTAATCTGTTTATTGTGGTCTACTAAAGAAAATCAGGTTATTAATTTGTTAATGTTAAAAAATAAGCTTTCATATTTTACATCTAATGCATTGTGGTATTAAATAAAACATTTACAAAAACACCAGAGTACTTAAAAACTTCAATCGGAATAACTTTTTCACCATTTATATCTTGGATTTCCACATACTACCTGTCTTTTGTATGCACAGGGGGGAATAAAATAGGAATGTATGGGTCTATTTCTCATTAGGCAATTAGAGAAGGCCACTGTTAAAACCTCCCCCACAAGAGACTTGGGTCAAAACAGCAAACGAAAATGAATGTTTGTGAATTGTTAATAAAAATAAAAATGATAATTTTTTTGTTACTTTCTTCTTTCATACTGATGTATTTTGACTAATTAAAGTGCATTCATTTTTCAAGTTTAAATGTGTGTGCATAGTATGTGTGTGTGTTCATTCTCTTTCATACTGTAGCATTCAAGTTATGTTCATTTTCATAGTCTCTCATATAATTCCAGAGAAATATGGCTCATGTAACAGCCTGTGTGCTTTATCACTGTTGTCTAGTTTATGCACTATGGTTTTATGTGAAAGCCCACCTGCTCAGAGTAGAAGAAGCCCAGGATTGCAATGGCCATTTGGGTAAGAAAGACCAGCGTCAGACTAAACGAGAACTAGAGGAGGAGGAAAGAACATCATGAATTCTTATATTCAAGGAAGATCGTGTAATTGCACGGTACAGATTACATTTCAAAGGTACTAAACAGATAGGAAAACAATTGAATTTATCTTCAAAAACAGCTGCTAAATAGTTTTTGTATCATTATATATGTAAAGGCTATGTTCTTATATAAACCTATTAGTTATTAAGATCCACTTCATGTGAAAAATGTCTTCCACCTACAGAAATTTATTTGACTAAAATAGAGTAGCTAGTCATAAGCCTTATTTGTAGGTCTCTTTCAAAAAAAACATGTTGATTTTAGCAATTTTCCACAAAGTAAATGTTTTCTGGCCCAGCTCTGGGCCACATATAAATTTTTCCATCGGGCCAAGTACTGCAAAGTATGACGATTCTGAAGTGACCCATAACTGGATTAAAGACAAGGGCCACACATGGGCCATAACCGGCCCGAATCTCAGCCAATTTATTACCCTTAACTGGCCCTAAACTGGGCCAAAACAGGTTTATTATTCTCAGGTAGCAAAGATTTCTGGCCCAGATTTGGTATAATGCTGGCACAGGAGACATTCATCCGGCACTGACATATAGCATGTGAGCCAAACATGGCCCAGGTTTGCAGAGGTAGCACTGTCTTTAAGGCGGCACACAAGACTTGGACCAGATATCAAATGTAGTATTTGGCCCAGATGTTAAAAATGTATATGTGGGCCACGTAAGCTTGGCCTAACTTGACCCACTTTTAAAATGCATTTAAATTCCATCAATTAGATCACTTAGAGAAAAAGCCCGGCCATAAAGTGAAATGCAACATGGGTTTATCAAATTAACTGCAGTCGTGACACACCAACATATCTGGCCCAGTTCAGGCCCAGTTATGGGTTATTGACTTGGCTGAGACTTGGTCCAGATATGGTCCATGTTTGACCCTTGTCTGGAAGCTAGACTTGGTCCAATCATGTACCATAATTCACTGCGGCATGTGGGCCAAACAAAAGCTGATTGTGTGGGCCAGATCTGGGCCAGAAAAATTTTGAAATGGGGGAACCCAGGTAGCAAAGTATTCTGGCCCAGATTTGGTATAAGGCTGGCACAGAAGACATTCATGCAGCACTGACATATAGCATGTGGGCCAAACATGGCCCAGGTTTGGCAGAGGTAGCTTTGTCTTTAAGGCGGCACACAAGACTTGGGCCAGATATCAAATGTAGTATTTGGGCCAGATGTTAAAAATGTATATGTGGGCCACGTAGGCTTGGCCTAACTTGACCCACTTTTAAAATGCATTTAAATTCTACCAAGCAGATGCTACACTGGTTTATCAAATTAGCTGCAGTCGTGACACACCAACATATCTGGCCCAGTTCAGGCCCAGTTATGGGTTATTGACTTGGCTGAGACTTGGTCCAGATATGGTCCATGTTTGGCCCTTGTCTGGAAGCTAGACTTGGTTCAATCATGTACCGTAATTCACTGCAGCATGTGGGCTAAGCAAAAGCTGATTGTGTGGGCCAGAGCTGGGCCAGAGAAATGTTGCTATGTTGGATTGGTACTGATTCTCAACTCTCAACTACCAGATCAACACCACCCTTTAACCAGAAATCTCAAAAACTGAGCCATAACCCAGCCCAATGTTACCTAAACAATGTCCCACAAAGCAAATGTTTCCTGGCCCAGCTCTGGGCCACATATTAGCTTTTCCATCGGCCCAAGTACCACAAAGAATGACGGTTCTGAAGTGGCCCATAACTGGATTAAAGACAAGGGCCACACATGGGCCATAACTGGCCCAAATCTCAGCCAATTGATCACCCTTAACTGGCCCTGAACTGGGCCAAAACAGGTTTATTATTGGTACTGATTCTCAGCTATAAGTTAACCAGATCAACACCACCCTTTAACCAGAAATCTCAAAAACTGAGCCATAACCCAGTCTAATGTTACCTAAACAATATGAACAATCACTACACTGATCTGGGCCACACACCTCCCATCCACAACTGGCCCAAAATGCATGCAGTGCCATCATTGCCATGCAAAGCAAAAAACCAACAGTGCCATAATGAGGCCACATTTGGGCCAAGTCTGTTTGCTTTGTGATTTGTACTCACAATCTTAAGAAGGCGGATGTTCTCCCGCAGAGCTCCAATGCATCCACAGAAGGTGATGAAGAACATGACAACTCCCACCACTATGAGGATCACAGCCGGGTCAATTAGGAACGAGTCCCGCACGGTGTCTGTGAAGGAAAAAAAATCCCATTCAGAAACACAGCACTGCTCCATACACACATCTGCAATTCATGATGGTGAACAGAACACTCACACATCTCATACCTGTCGCTTTCTGAGCTTTAGCATACACCCCAATGGCTACGATAAGAAGAGAAAACACCTACAATGAATAAATAAACACAAATAAATAATGTGACAAGTACACGTTGGTCATCTAATGCGACTACATATTTACCGTACAATCAATGTTTCAACATCTGCAGGTCTAATATAGCTTGGCAAATATGTAACTAGCATGTTATGACTAGCCTTTTATAGCTTTTATGGAGTTTCTTTTTAAGCTTCAATGCTAAGTTCATAGAAATGTGACTATTATTTCATTTAAATTTTTGTTTTTTTGCTGAGCTAAAAATTGACTATCATACATTTTTACAATATTTACAAACAAACAATAGCACGGATTTTTTAAACATTCCACATTTAATTACTACATGCGTATTTCATGCAGCTGCCATTTAAAAAAAAAAAACGGAAGTGAGGGGTGAGGCAGTGGCGCAGTAGGTAGTGCTGTCGCCTCACATTAAGAAGGTTGCTGGGTTGCTGGTTCGAACCTTGGCTCAGTTGGCGTTTCTGTGTGGAGTTTGCATGTTCTCCCTGCCTTCGCGTGGGTTTCCTCCAGGTGCTCGGGTTTCCCCCACAGTCCAAAGACATGCGGTACAGGTGAATTGGGTAGGCTAAATTGTCCGTAGTGTATGAGTGTGTGTGAATCTGTGTGGATGTTTCCCAGAGATGGGTTGCGGCTGGAAGGGCATCCGCTGTGTAAAAACTTGCTGGATAAGTTGGCGGGACTAAGCCGACAAGAAAATGAATGAATGAACCGAAAGTGACGGAAGTATAGGATCACCACTGTAAACATTGCAACAACATGCTGTGAACTACAAACTTTTAGCTGTTTTCACAATTTCAAATTGCATAAATGGTGTAAACATCACTTTAATATCATTCATTTAAGTTTAATTTAAACAATTAAAAGCATATTGAGCATTAAACAAAATCATAATCTCTTTATGCGTAATAAGCTAAAGTGTCCTTCTAGGCTTCAGTTCATGGCACCAGGGTAAACACGTTGGGGACGCTTCCCTGCTTCAGCCTATGTAACCCGGTGATTGATAAAATGATCCAGTCCTCTGCACACATTTTCTGTTCTTTTAATTCCAACATTCCTATACATTTCTTAAAATCTATAATTGTATCTTTATCTACATCTAAAAAAAAAGTTTAATTTAAAATGTAGCAACAGTTTAAGATAGAAAAAGTATGCAGTGTGCATCAGAATTTTATTAGTACACAGTTAGAATGTATAATTTCCTATAACTGTTTGTCATATAATATGCTAGTTAACCCTATCACACAAGCAAAGATGCTCTCTCCATGATGGCAATAAATTCATTAGAATACACAGACATTTAATAAAAAAGGTGTTAGTATTAGGTGACTTACATTTCAGACACATTAGCCCCTTTCACGCATACGGTATTTTACGGTAAATTAGAGGTTAATATCCATGAAGAGCTAATGTGTGAACAGTCCTGAATGTGAAGCTTTGACATTAGTATTAAATTAGCAGAATTTCTCTTTGTCTAAGCAATGAATTTTTAAATATAACTGTAAAGTTGTTCCAGTAAATTCACAGTAATATACCGTTTTTACTGTGTTTCAGCCTTAAATGAATCTTTAGAATGAATCAGCCAGTGATTCAATAGCCCATTCATTAAAAGAGTTACTTGCTTCATTTCTAAATAAATAAGTTTGAATGATCACTATACAGCTCTATTGGGCATTTTATTCATGATATACATTATATTTACTTTAATACATTTAGGGCATTATTTTTTATTACATGTATTGTATAAGCTATTAGTACAGTATAATCTGTTATAGGTTAGGGTAATTAGGCAAGTTGTATAACGATGGTTTGTTCTGTGGACTATCGAAACAAAATAAAGCTTAAAGGGGCTAAAAGTTTTGACCTTAAAAAGGATTTTTAAAAATTAACAACTGCTTTTACTCTAGCTGAAATGAAACAAATAAGACTTTCTCCAGAAAAAGAAATATTATCAGACATACTGTGAAAATTCCCCCCCTGAAAATTCAAAGGGGGGCTAATAATTTGATTTCAACTGTATATATATATGTACACACACACATGTATATATATATATTTACACATATATATATTTACACACACACATATATATATATATATATATATATATATATATATATATATATATATATATATATATATATATATATATATATATAACCACTTTTTAATTCAATTTGATGCAGACACCAGACATCACACTATTGGTACACACACTAGGCCTAAATATTTGACTATATTTGGAGAGCTAAATTCAAAAATTAATAAATTTTAAAAATAAATACATAAATAAACAAAATCACATCCACACCAGTTGCTTAGGTTATTAAAAATCTGTCTCCGAATATTGATGTTTGCCCAGAGAAATCTCAGGATTTATTAGCAGACGACCCTAGACTCGATGTTGTTTCATTTAATGAAATGGCATTCAGACTTATAAGTGGCTTTATATTGAAACAATGGATTTGATTTTGAATTATATTGGTTTCTCCACGTAAGTGTATTATTACTTTTATTTCTTTAAACAAAGACTATATTCTCAAAGCTGAAATAAAACAGCCTGTGAGCAATAGAGACCCTGCTGCCATTGCTTCTGATATTGCTTCAGTCGCTGGAAGCTTTTTCATGTGTCTGAGAGTCACTGCAGCTCCATTATGCATCTGAAGAGTCTTCAGAAAGTTGTTCAGTTTTATCAGCTCACTCCTTAAGAGTCGATGACTGACTCGGCTTGCATATGAAATATAAGGAATCAGATTAAAGAGCGATCAGATGCTTTTTTTATTGTAAAGAAACAGCCTCTCAGGAAACATAATTTTGAGTAGATCTGCACGACATTGGAAAAATCTGACATTGCAATATTTAGTTTTTCTGATCTATTTTTTTTAATATATATATTTTTACTTTTGTCAACTGGTAAAATTTTGTTTCTCGCCACTGTCACCACTGGCTTGCTTGGTTTGGGACTTGTGGAGCTACACATCAATGGATTTGCTCTTCAGAGTTTGAACTTTCAGCAGTGAAACTGTTAGAAGCACTGAACTAAACTGAACTTCAACTCTGAAAACTGGACTGACAGTTTCAATTTACTAGAACTTCTATGTTAAGCTGCTTTGACAATCTACAAAAATAAAAATAAAGATGCTATAAAAATAAAGATGAATTGACTTAAATAAGCACAAATATATTATTGTCAAGCATCTTAGAAAATAGGAATTTAAAAGAGAGATCTGTCCTTACTTATACTGAGCGCTGTACAAGCAAAAAGAGATAAAACTGTAAAGATAAAGGAGAAATAAACAACTCTTTATGGATTCCCATGTGAGTCTAACAGTATCCCGGTACATAACCTGAATAATTAAATGTGAAATAACATTGCAAAGTCTTTACTGTATAAATGATGAAATAAAAGACATCTTTATCACTCCAAACAGGACACTTTCTCATGCCTGAATACTTTAAAATGTTTTGACATGCTCACAGTCACAGAAATGAAACTCCATAATGATGCATTCTGGATTGATCAGTTTTAAACCCAGCATATAAACTCAACATGTGACTTTTGAGGATGCGCACATCTATTATAAAATTATACACTGTGCAGCTCTAGTTCTGTGCATTTCTGAAAAAATCCAGTCTTTGTGACTGGAACAAAAGACTAATGGATTCAGTGGTAACATTATGTCCAAAGGTCCGTCTGTTGTGTGTAAACACTGGTTTAGAATGAACAGTTTGAATTGGCAGCGGCGTTCATTTTTCACAGCATAAAGACAATTAACGGCCATCACAGTCTGCAGATCATTTCTTTTCAATGTGAGTTGGCGATTTGAGGCAATATGAGTGACAGGGACTGCTGGTAATGTGACAAAATCCAGTTCAAAATTATGCAAATGCGCAGTATGTGAGCCTTTCATTCCAATAACATTTTTTTAACATGGAATCGACTTTTCTTTCTTTTTTTTTTCTTGGGTTTAATTACTATTCCGAGTCCAATTCTAGATAAAAACAGTTTTGTTAAAACTCATGGAATGTGAGTTACATTGTTTCATGTGGAAATTATAAATGTGACTTCCACGTTATTCTAAACAGCTTTTGGAAGCCTCACATACTAATCAATGCTGAATTGTTCTTTTGTTTTTTAAAATAAAAAAATACAATAAACAACAATGGACATTTTAATAACTATAACAAAAATTAAATATTAATAAAACTTTCTTTCATTTTCTTGTCGGCTTAAGCCTGGTTTATACTTCTGCGTCAAGTGACCGGCGTAACCCACGGCACATGCAACGCGCGTAGCTGTGCATTTATACTTCTGCGCGTTGTCTCTGTTGGTCTGCATTAACACTTCCAAATCGCTAGTTGGGAGTGAGGTGTAAATGTTCCTCTGTGTCGAGTTTCTTCGCTTTTTTTTTGCTTTTCCTGAACACTTCCTGGATGTACAAGTGGCTCAAACTCGCTCATTTTGAGGCAGGAACCAGCGGACGTGCAACAACTTTAACTATGAGGTAAACACAAAACAAAACTTTCCACCTGGAGCTCCTTCACGGGACTCCACACTTGTAAACAATTGGTCCATCAGGCTCGCACCATTCGCGCGGCTCTCGGTCCCGCCCAGACTCGTCAGCGCTACCAAGCCGACCAATCGCAGAGCTTACGCTACGCTTACACTTACGCTTACGCTACGCTACTAAAAACACTGTAGGAACCATGACAGTGGAAACCATGATTTTTGTGATGCGAGCCATTTTAAATGCTATGGTTATGTGCCATATTGTTGTTATAGTGATATTGTAGATATTGTTACATTTTTTGAGAGGTGCACGTCAGCGACGGCGAAGGGCTATGCGTCAGCGACGTAGCATACGCTGGCGTTTGACGCAAAAATTTAAATCAGCCTTTAATCCCTTTATTAATCTGGGGTCGCCACAGCGGAATGAACCACCAACTTATCCAGCACGTTTTTACGCAGTGGATGCCCTTCCAGCCGCAACCCATCTCCCTGCTAAAAAATCCAGCTTAAACCAGCTTAGGCTGGTTGGCTGGTTTTAGCTGGATTTTTCAGCAGGGTAGGAAATTAGTAAAACAATTATATATATATATATATATATATATATATATATATATATATATATATATATATATATATATATATATATTATTAATAAATATGGCTGATTCCAGCGTTATGGATGTGACATTTGCAGTAAAAATTCAAAACATAAATTCGCAGAGAAAGTATACATTAACATTATATTGAATCATCTGTTTATATTTTCCAAAACAACTAACCATAGAGTTATGGGATCAAAAAAATTTAATCTGTGAACATTTTTATACTTTAAATGAGGAAAATAAACAAGCGTTATGGATGTGACAAAAAAAGTCTGCAAGTTTACAGTATACAATATTTTTCGTAGAAATTCTGTGAATTAAACTGCACAACCCAAAATAAATAATGTTCAACAAAAGGATAAGAGTTGGCTCTTTATAGAACAAAACTGATTGATTTTATTTTATTTTGACATTTTTGCATTTTTGAGGGAAAAGCTGTGTTATGGATGTGACACTTTTTCGTTATGGATGTGACGGATGTGAAATTGCCATTTATTTGACTTTGGTAAATCAAATATAATAGTTTGAAAACATTGACTGAGACATTTTTAGGTATTTTTAAACTACTGTAAAACACTTGCCTGCGCAAAAAATGTAGAAACGGTTTCGCTATTTTGGTGAAAACATTTTTCTTTTCATGGCAAGGTTGACATTTTCATGAAATTGCTCATATACAATTATATACACAGTACACAACCTCAAATCAGAAAAAATGGGAGAGTATGTACAAAGTAAAGTGTATTGTGTGATTGTAGAGTTTTAGTTTTTTGTTAAGCCACATTATTATTTACCTTTTTATTTGTTGGTATGATTTTTTTTTTGTCATTGTATTAAGTTGGTACTATCTTTACTTTTTGAAATATAATTGTTTTGTTAAAAAATGTTGACTACTGTAAGAAATACCTCTACCCAACTTTAGTTTTACATCTTGTTATCAATTGTAGAACGGGGAGGGATGAGGCACACAGAGAACCATCTCAGACAATAGGGTGTCGAAACATCAAGATAAAAACACAGCTATGACGACAGCTAATGGTGCAAATTCATTTACAATTAAAGCAGTAAACAAAATCTGTTTAAAAGATTTGAGTTTAACAATGTTATGGGTTTGTTAAGGTTAAGGGTACTGCTGTGTACTTTGAATAAACTGAATAAATGCTGAATATTAAAAAATGTATGTCTTTATTAAAAAAAAAATACTTGTGAATGATCTGTTAAGCTTGAGCTCTATGAGTGCTTCAGCATTAAGTAAATGTCTTGTTTAGGACTGAGAGCACAAGAGCATTTTTGTCTGTTTCTTCGTCTTCAAACCTGTGCAGCAACTCTTAAATCTGACAGAAGTTTTCAGGAAGCTTAAGAGTCCTGAACAAAGGCATAATATGAGGCAATTTCTGCAGTGCAAGCGATTCACTTGATTCTGAGATTGTATCACACAGTCAATACCCTGATAAAACACAACACAAGAGAAGCGCCAGAACAGATGCCTTTGTTTTGATTGCACGCACTGTATCTTTAGGGGATTCATGCCTTCCTTTGCATCCTATTCTGCCATTACATCCCAGAGAGTGGTATTTTTACTCGATAAAATTCCTCGCAATTCTATGCAAATAGAGTGCTCCGAAATGAGTCGTGTTGTGCTGAAAACATCACAGTGGAGGAACAATTGCAACAGCGAGTCTGGTGAAAAGACTAAATTACACCCCCTGATGTTTTATTCATGTCAAAGCTGGCCAAAGAGCTTATGCTCTGCCGTCTGGAAATGTCCTTTCCTTCAACGAAACCCATTCAAAACTGCAGTCAGAGGCCTCACTCACTTACCCAGAATAAAAAGCTGAAGAAGAACAGGAAGTACCGGATCCAAGGGTTGAGGAAAGAGAACATTTCCGTCCTGCTTAGGCTCACCTGCCTGTCCATTTGAACAGATTTTTAAGAAGCATAAATGTAATTACAAACATACATGCCAGGTTTCAGGCTGCAGCTGTAGTCTGCAATGAAGTGCAACAGCTGCTGTACATGTATACTGAGGTGCTCTGCACATTAGTGTCTGTGGAAGCAGCCAGAGCACAGCGTTACATAAAAGCTGCCTTTGGATGCTTTGAAAGCCATTGTTTTCCATCAGTGTGGACAAGAATTTGCAGTCAGGCAAAACAGACAGGGCGTGGGATTTTCGGTGTTTCTGTTTTGACAACTCCCTATGATTATTTAACCATGGTTCTATTGCAGTTACAATAGTAAAACTTTTTTTTTGCAGTAAAACCAAAAGGAACCACAAAATTAACATGTTTACTATTCATTAGTATTCATTCATAATTACTGTCATTTCCACACTTCAACTGTGATAACTGAACTTCATTCATTTTTCTTCAGCTTAGTCCCTTATTTGTCAGAGGTCGCCACAGTGGAATAAACTGCCAACTATTCCAGTAAATGTTTTATGCAGAGGATGCTCTTCCAGCCACAACCCAGTAATGGGAAACACCCATGCACTCTCACATTTACACACACACACACACCCCATGCGCTACAGTCAGTTTAGTTCATCCAATTCACCTATAGAGCATGTCAATTCGAGGAAAACTGGAGCATCTAGAGAAAATCCATGCGAACAAGAGAAGAACATGCAAAACGCCACACAGAAATGCCAACTGGCCCAGCTGGGACTTGAACAGTGACCTTTATGATATGAGGCGACAGTGCTAACCACTGTGCCGCCTTTATAAGAACTTCATCTATGTTATTAATCTATGTACACAATCTACATTATAAAAAGTGCTAAAGAAATAATAAAGGGATTGTGTTGAATCACATTTGATGTAAAACCATCTTAACTACAAAGTGTCGCATAGTTTTATTATGCCATTGGAAGTAAGACCATAGTAACTACAACAACCTTTTACAGGTGTATTGCAGTGTAGTGCCTTACCCTTTTTTTTTGTAAATTCTAGTTGATTTTTTTGATGTATACTTTTTTTTTTTTGGAGTCGTTACTGCATAACTTTTGTTAAATATAATATAACATGCTTTGGTTCTGTGGTTCCTACAGTTATGTTTACTCTAACGTTACTGCAGTACTAATACTACAATATCACTATAACAACAGCATGGCACATAACCATAGTATTTAAAATGGCTCGCATCACAAAAATCATGGTTTCCACTGTCATGGTTCCTACAGGGTTTTTAGTATTGCAATGGTATTAAAGTAAAGCCATGCTCTCAAAACAATGTTTTTCAAAACCACAAGTATGCACAAAAAAAAAAAAAGAATAACCAAACCAATTAAAAAAGAAAAAAGAGAAAAAAAACATGGATACAACAGTTATTGTTTTTACAGAGTTATTATTACAATGTTACTGTTGTAAAACCATGGTCACAAAACCATGTTTTTTTTTTCTTTTAACCATAGTATGCACCAAAAAACCATGGTTACCAAATCCATGGTTCTTACATTGATAATACTATGATATTACTATAGTAAAACCATGGTCACAAAACCATGTTTTTTTAAACCACAGTATGCACCAAAATAAATAAATAAATAAAATAAATAAACATGGTTACTAGAGTCATTGTTCCTACAGTATTATTACTACAACATAACTATAGTAAAACCACAAAGATCACAGTATACACCAAAAACCATTGTTCCTACAGTCATGGTTTCTAGTGTTATTGCTACAATATTACTATAGTAAAACTTTGTTTTTTCATAACCACAGTATGCATAAAATATCATGATTACTATTGTCATGGCTCCTACATTGCTATTACTACAATATTACTATGGTAAAACCATGATCACAAAACCATGTTTTTTTTTTTTAAACCACAGAATGCATCAAAAAAGAAAAAAAAAACATGGTTACTACAGTCATGATTCCTACTTTGTTAATACTACAACATTACTATAGTACAACCTTGGTTTTTAAAACCACGGAATACACCAAAAACAATGATTTCTACAGTCGTGGTTTCTATTATTACTACAATATTACTATAGTAAAACCATGGTCTCAAAACTACAGTTTTAAAAACCACAACAAGCACCAAAACATGGTCACTATAGTCATGGTTCCTATAGTATTATCATAATATTACTACAATATTTGTTAAAACATAGCCTCAAAACCATGATTTTTAAGATCACAATATGCACCAAAAATGCATGCTTCCTACAGTCATAGTTTCTAGTGTTGTTAATACCATATTACTATAGTAAAACTATGGTCACAAAACCATTTTTCGAACTAAAATATGCACCTTAAAGTATGGCTACTACAGTCATGGTTCCTACAGTGTTATCACAATATTACTACAATATTACTATAGCAAAACCATGTTCTCATAACCATGATTTTTAAGACCACAGTATGCACCAAAAAGCATGATTTTAACAGCCATGGTTCCTAGTGTTGCTATTACAATATTTCTATAGTAAAACCATAGTCACAGAGCCATGTTTTTTAAAACCACAGTATGAACAAAAAAAGCATGGTTACTACAGTCATGGTTCCTACAGTGTTAATACTACAATATTACTATAGTGAATACTTGGTCACAAAACCACAGTGTGCACAGTATTTACTACACTTTTCCATAGTAAAACCATGGTTAATTTGCAATATTGTCCCCTGTCCGTCTCAGTATGAGAAGACAAACACAGGTGTTTTGTGAATCAGTCTGTCACCGGTTCAGAGTGATGACTTGATTATCAGAGTCTCGGTAGATCAAGGACTGTGAAACCAGCGCAGGCTGTTCAAGCTGCTGGAAAGCCATTCTAAATATAAATGACCCATCGTGAAACTGCACTTTCAGGAGTAGTTTGGACTCTGCTGCTTGTCTGACTGCCTTTTCCCACTGGGACCTCTGCTGTTTCTCTGGACTGCATCTGTAAAGCTCATTCAATCCTTTCTTCACGAGGGCCGAAGGACAATCAATCCGGTTGTTGAGAGTCTTTTGCACAGGTTTATTTGCTACAGGCCCTGAAAGCTCTTCCCCCCTCTCTTTTCTTTGAAAGTTTGGAGACAGAGCAGTAGAGATCCAACACATTGATTTGTTTGTTTCCTCCTGACATCCACAAATATCACATCCTTTGAATGCATTATGGATCCAGTATCGTCTATCATAATTCTCATGTTACCGCGTTCAGACGCTACTCTGCAGCTTTCTGAATATACTGTAGCTATAAGAGTATTGATCTGAAGAAGAAAAGAGCACAGCATTTCTCTATAATGTCTAATGACTTTATAGGTGTGCTACAAAACAGACTGTTATAAAGCAATGCTTTGTATTGGTACTTTTACAAAGGCACGTATTATTATGAACTTTAGCAAATTTAAAAGTGCATAATTATTTTTATAATCACTGTTGCAAGCATTAAGAAACTAATGTTACAAAAATTATTAAAATTTTGGTATAGGTTGTTTTCAATCATGTGGCTCTGGTGATGTGTACAATTCAGACGGAGGGCATGAATCAAAAAAAAAAAAAAAAAAGGTGACAGAGCAAAGTCCATATTTTTGCAAGTTTTACCACATTTCAAAGGAGATGTAAATGGAAAATACAGTTCATCCAGAAAGTATTCATAGCTCTTTACTTTTTACACATTCTATTATGTTACAGCCTTATTCAAAAATGGATTAAAATAATTTATTTCCTCAAAATTCTGCATACAATAATCTATAATGACAATGTGAAAAAAAAATTTTTTTTAATAGTTGCAAATTTATTAAAAATAAAAACCTGAAAAATCACATGTATTCACAGACTTTGCTCAATACTTTGCTGATGCACCCTTGGCAGCAATTTCAGCCTCAAGTCTTTTTTTAATCATGATTCCACAAGCTGGGGAATTCTTTGGGAATTTTTTGCCAATTCCTCTTTGCAGTACCTCTCAAGCTCTATCAGGTTGGATGGGAAGTAATGGTGTACAGCCATTTTCAGATCTCTCCAGAGATGTTTAATAGGATTTAGCTCTGGGCTCTGGCTGGGCCACTCAAGGACATTTACCGAGTTGTTGTGAAGCCACTCCATTGATACTTTGGCAATGTGCTTTGGGTCATTGTCCTGTTGGAAGATGAACCGTCGCCCCAGTCTGAGGTCAAGAGCACTCTGAAGCAGGTCTTCATTCAGGATGTCTCTGTACATTGCTGCATTCATCTTTCCCTCTAACCTGACTAGTCTTTCAGTTCCTGCTGCTGAAAAACATCCCTACAGCATGATGCTGCCACCACCATGCATGGATGGTATTAGCCTGGTGATGAGCCGTGCCTGGTTTTCTCCAAATGTAACGCCTGCCATTCACTCCAAAGAGTACAATTTTAGTCTCACCAGACCAGAGAATTTAGTTTCTTATGGTCTAAGAGTCCTTCAGATGCCTTTTGGCAAATTCCAGGCAGGGCTGCTATGCGCCCTTTACTAAGGAGTGGTTTCCGTTTAGCCACTCTACCATACAGGCCTGATTGGTGGATTGCTGCACAGATGATTGTCCTTTTGTAAGGTACTCCTCTCTCCACAGAAGAATGCTGGAGCTCAGAGACCATCAGGATATTGATCACCTCCCTGACTAAGGCCCTTCTCCTCAGATCACTCAGCTTAGATGGCCGGCCAGCTCTAGGAAGGGTCCTGGTGGTTCCAAACATCTTCCACTTACGGATGATGGAGGCCACTGTGTTCACGGGAACTTTCAGAGCAGCAGAAATTTTTCTGTAACCTTCCCCAGCCTTGAGACAATCCTGTCTTGGAGTACTACAGACAATTTCTTTGTCTTCATGCTTGGTTTGTGCTTTGACGTGCACTGTCAATCCCGGGACCTTATATAGACAGGTATATGCCCTTACAAATCATGTCCAATCAACTGAATTTACCACAGGTGAACTCCA